TGATTTTACATATACAATCTACTTTAAAATTATATAGTCGCACAACATAATTTCAAGATCGTCACAAAGTGATAAACATGATAAATCAAACTTCCATCATGCTCTAAAATGATGTAAAATGAATATATTTTTTGTACCAAAAAAATTTCCTTGAGGGAGTGATCAATTATCATTATTAATTATAAATTATTACACAATGCAACCATTTTCACAAACATCAAAACCCCTTTTTTATTAAAAAAACAGACTATCAAAATTTCATTCAAATTCGACCAAAAATGTTAATTGGTTTAATTTTGATGTTTTCCTATGTTAAAAAAATTTATCTATAAATAAGAAAAACAATCATTAAAACTTGGTAACAAACTCATGTGACATATTTTAGTTACATTTAAGTGTGTTGTTGATATTAAAAAATAAGTGTAAAAAAATTAAAAAGGAAGTGCACAAAATTGAATTTTTTAATAATTCTTAATTTTTTATTCTAAAGTTAATAATACTTAAAACATATACTATATAAATTTATTTTTTGTATAAGTGGAAAATAAGTATGTTTTAAGTACACGAATGTTTCTATTACTGCAAAAAATAAGGATGTTTTAATGATAAAATAAGTGTATCCAATCAATTTTTGTAAAAAAATTAATGATCATCATTTTATGTCAAAAAATACATATTTTATAGGTTTTTTTTTACCAGGATAATAGCATACATTGTGTAAGAAATAACGTACACTGTGTAAGGAATTAAGATACATGTTTTTTACATTAAAACTATAACATACATTGTTTAAGGAATTAAAACTTACATTTTATGGGTTTTCATAACATACATCATGTAAGGAATTAAAACTTACATTTTATGGTATTTTTCCTTACACCAAAATAATAACGTACATCATGTAAGTGATTAAAACCCACATTTTATTGGGTTTTCCTTTGCCAGAATAATAACGTACATCATGTAAGGAATTTGATGTATTTCTGAATACATAGGCAACCCCATTAAACCAAAGGCAATTGTGCGGCAACTTTTCTTCAGATTAATGGGGTTTTGGATTAATGGGGTTTTTTTATAATCTGAAGTTATTATTAGAGTCATAAATTAATTCAGATAAACAGGGTAATAAATCTAAAAATTTAGGATTTAGAATTTCCTTTATCCATTTTCTGGCAGTGAATTGATTTGGATTCAATGATAA